ACAGAAAAAAGTATGTTAAGGTGGTGGCATTTCCTTTGCTCAAAAATCAATCCTCTCTCTTTCTTTCACTCGGAGAATGCAGGTAAAACAGTGGCAGTGCAATTACAAGTGAAGAGATTTCCATTCCTTTTTTATGTTTCCCTCAGTTTGGTGAATGCTAATGGGGGCTTGTAGATTTGCAGGGCACGGGCAGAGCGAGGCCCATCTGTGAATAATGGATGAGTTAATGTTAGCGAGAGCTCATCCTGGAACCCACTCCTCAGAAGAAATACATATAATTTTTTATCTTTGGTTTCCTGGACTGCGTGATTCTGATTGGCAGGGTCATCCAGTCATCTCACGTACCTCTCGTGTAGAGCTTCATATCAACGAAGACCAATACAGTATACCACAGTACGGATTTCTAGCACGTCCAACTGTGTGGCGTCATGTATATTTACTAATATTTCTTTTAGTCGATATCAGTGTTTCCTTCAAGCTTAAAGGTTTCTTTTTACTTTAGAGGGTTTGAAAAGGATTAAGCTTGGTTTGAATGCTATTTATTTTAAGTTTAACATTGTAGAGCTATATTTTAAACGAATAACATTTTTATATATATTAAAGTAAAATCTTAAATCTGACTAGGCAAAAGGTTCAAGAGCTACAGAAGAACACAGGTGAACTGGAAAACTAAATTCTTTGGTCAGTTCCAAAGAAACGAAGTAGCTGTAATAACTACTTCTAAACTGTTTTTTTTTCTTTTTTGTATAGAAACAAACTGTTTCCAGTTGTTAAGAAATGTCCCCATAAATAGAAAAAAGGAACACTGAAATGATTTTGTATATATCCTCAGTACAAATTTAAAAAATCCATTTCACTTTTATTTATATAGCGCCGTATCACCACAATTGTTGCCTTAAGGTGCTTTATATTGTAAGGTAAAAACCCTGCGATAATACAAAGGAAAAAAACCTTTCAAATAAAATGAAGGAGAACTTAAACAAAACTGACACTCGGTTGCGGTCTGCTTATGCTCCAGGAGGAACAAAGGGGACATGAAGTGCAGTCTCAATGAAGTGGGCAGTGAGGCTCATATATGGATCAGATGTGTGACTTGTTCATGAGCAGCAATCCGAACACAGAAGTTCATCCCTCTCTTTACGCTCGGGATGTTTACGGCCTTGGAGTTGGTAACGATGCTCAGCTACTTTAATCAGCTGCTTAAATCGGACATTTTCAACTGTGGTTACTGGCGTCGTGTATTGTAATGGTGTTAGCTGCCTTTGTAGAAACATGCTTTTGCAACAGTGTGTGCTCTGCTCTGCTTGCTTGGCGGAGGTTAAATAGCCAGATTATCTCCACGCTCCCGATTTCCTTAACAACGTCTTCGTGTTTTGAGTCTGGGGTTGTGCCGTTGGGGTGTCACATGTTCGATATCACTGTTGCTTGAGTTTTCGCTCAACATGCTGGTTTGTAGCTTCTCAAACATTAGCGCTGCTGCTGCTCGGACTCGACTCCAACCACAATTTTTTCCGCGCTGCACTCTTCTCATTGTCATTGTCATTGTGTCAACTTTATATTAACCATGTCTCATATTATAGAAACATTTTTGGTTGATAATCCTTTTTATTATCAACCAAAAATGTTCTTTTTTATTATTTTTATTATTTTATTGCCCAGCTCTGGATGAGTTGGAAGTCCGCATCATCTTGAATTTCCTCCTTAAGAGGAACCTGTTTTATGAGACGTTATGCCTTTGCTAAATGAATTGGGATGAAGCTATAATTTTGTGTTTTCAGTAGACACTGGGTCGTGAAAACGGCGTAAAATCACTAGTTAAAATTTTTAAAAAAAGCAAACCCTAACAAAGCAAAACAAACAAGTAAATAAAGTTTGGCTTAAAATAAGGTTTCAAAAGCCTCCTTCCAACAGAGATTCTTGTACCGCGCGTGTGCCATCACTCGAACCTTTCATTAGCCCAGAAAAACAGGGAGATCTACCTAATCTTTGATGTGGTAGTGTATACATAAGCCTGTTACTACACAGCTGAAGTAGTAGCATCACAATTAACCAACATGTTTGCTGGTTTAGTTGGTGATTAGCTCTTTGGGGCAGGGAACTTTCATATTTGCCAGATTTATTTATTTATTTATTTTAGACTGTCTTTCGTCTGATTATGATTCCTCTGCTAAGACCAACCTTTGGCCTTTTACTGCTTTAACATTAAATCAGTCAGGACCCTTTCAAATGATGCCATAGTTAGTTTAGGTTTACAGTCTAGTAACCAGTAAAATCACCTCACTGTTTGTTGTGAGCATCCTTTGCCTCCTGCATTTCTCCACAGTTTTAAAAGGAATTGGAGAACTCTTGGAGGATTCTGTGGACTTAGCCTGTCTCAGTCGTTTCTGTTTCTCGCTGGTATTTCTGGCTCAATAACGTTGAGATCAGGGCTCTGTCAGCCTCTCACCATCTGCTGCAGGAATTCTTCCTGCTGCTGAAGACGGTTCTTTGTGACTCTCTCTTTGGGCTCGTCTTTGTGCTGCAAAACGAATCTGAGACCATCCAGACACCTTCTTTATGGTGCACAGATTCCAAAATATAAACTGTCTTAAAGCTTTTCACTGTATTGCATTGTTGTGAGGAAATTGAATACTTTACAAAGAATTCTACTGAAATATTAGATGAACGTTTTTGATATGACAACTACATCAGAGGACAAAAGGATGCCCAATATGGGTCAGAATTAGGTGACAAATGACACGTTTTCTAATGTAGTGGGTGGAGACCTTATGGCACGAGTAAGATTAAGTTTGTGCCTCGAACACAAAAGTGGCGCTCCAAACAATAGCTTTAGTTCTGTTTATGAACATGACCTCTTTTTGGTTCAGGGAAATTCAAAGTGACACTTTGCCCGCCAGAAGACAGTGGTTTCTAAATACCACACGACAAAGTGCTTTTTCTCGAGTCATAGCTGATTCCCACACTCACACATCCTCTCACACTGTGACTGTGGTTGTGTCACAGAGGGGAAAAAGAAGGTCCGGCCCGGCTAACACTTAGCACTAAGCCTTATTTTCTGTGAATTTTTTTGTCAGTTCAGTTAAACTATACAAGATAGAGCCATGATGCTTCACAGGCATATAGCTGAGATCAAAATAAAGGCCATGTTCAAAGATATGTTTAGTCTTACCATTCACGTACAGATGATCGAGTATGAGTTGGAACCAGTGCTGGTTGTAACACATTAAACGCAAGCACTGAGTACTTTTTTCCTGTAGTGAATAATCGAAGGCGTTTAATTTACAATACCAGTAATCACTTATTTACCTACTTTTTTCAAATGACCAATCTGTCAGAGTGACAGTATTACCACAGTTCCTTCCTTGAGACATTATACATTGTTTGTCTCTGACTTCTTGGCATGCAGCTGTATACTAGTGGAATACACACCCATCCAGGGCCAGAGCTGTGTCTTTGTGCATGTTAATGCCAGCTAGCTTATGCTCTTTTATTATTTGTGGCAAGAGTGATAGAAAATGTATGGCTAAGGAGCTCTGCTTTACATTTTGAAGAAACGCCTGCAAGCTAAGCACACTGATGGTGAGGCCCACTGAGGAAGAGAACCACAAAATTGCTTTTAGCATCGCTAAAGCTTGTCGCTGGTAATTTGATGGAGGAGATGCTACCAGTGTCAGCTCACTGTGTAATTAAGTGATTTTTATTTAGCGCCTTTTCTACTCTACTTGAGTACTCAAAGTGCTTTATATCATTCACACAAGCCCCTTTTCATACTTCTGAGTGTTTTCTATGTAGTCTAAGAAGGTTTGATAGAAAAGC